TGGCAGTCCACTGTCGTCCATGTGGATAACATAGCCAGTCCAGCGTAGTTGTTCATGGATAATGGTAGCCTCGATACTTCTACAGTTGGTGTCAGTAAGAACACTGGCATTTATTCTCTTGTCTTCCCAGCGAAATCGGAGGATAGAACGTAGATTACGTTGGTGATGGTCTTCAAGTACCTAGAGGTGCCTCCTGTATGTGACCTATGTCTCGCTGCCATCTTGCAGGGTGGGGAGGATCACTGCTCGATATACTTGTAACTTTGTAGATAATTACATCGATGTCTGCGGTAGTGGACAGGTGGGAGCCGAGATACCGAAAGTGGGTAACATTTGAGAAGGAAGTACCGATAAGCTGGATGGTTGGTGGAGGTGTGGTTGAACCAGGGGCAGGCCGAAGTGTGCATATGCATCTGCGTAGATGTTCAGGATCTCCTGTAGGTCGCATTCAGTGTGAGCAACAAGGGTGAGGTCATCTGCATACAGAAGCTCAGTAATGGAAGCTGCCAACACCTTTGTTCCTGCCTGGAGTCGTCTTATGTTGTAAAGACTGGCTAAATTGGCGTTGGCACGAGTAAGAAAGGCAGCAAAGAAATTGGAAAAGAGAGTTGGTGCCAGTACACACCCTTGTTTAACCCCCGTTTAGATGGGGAAGGACTCAAACTGGGTACCATTGTGCAGGACACTGCCATTCATGCCATCGTGGAGTTGCCTCACAATAACAATGAATTTTTGTGGGCTGCTCAAACGGCTGAGGGTCCACCAGAGGGCTTCCCTGTTGACCGAGTCGAAGTCCTTGGTTATTCCAATGAAAGCCATGTACAGGTTACGACGGCGACACTGTTCTCTGCACTTTTCCTGTGTCTGACGGGCAGCAAAGATCATGTCAGTGGTTCCACGTGATGGACTAAAGCCACATTGAGATTCTGGGAGGAAGTTTTCCGCCTCAGGAACAAGTCTGTTTTGGAGGACTCGGGCAATAATCTTGCCAGCTACGGACAGCAGCGAGATCCCGTGGTAGTCGCCACAGTCTGACCGGTCTCCCTTGTTCTTTTAAATATTGACGATGGAGGAATCTTTAAGAGCTTGGGGGATTCCCTCCTTTTCCCGTATATTCTCCAGGAGAGAGTGGAGACGGCTAGTAAGCAGAGGTCCCCCTGGTTCATACACCTCGGCTGGGATTCCATCAGACCCTGAGGCTTTGTTATTTTTCATCTGTTTGATGGCAGTAGCTACCTCATCCAGGGATGGGGGATTGCTGAGGTGGGTCAGCTCTGGATGCTGAGGGACCTGCTGGGTCGTCAGGAAATCCACATCGGTTTTTAGTTGAGCAGTGAATGGTAGTGATCTTTCCAGTGCTAAAGGATGCCTTCATCGTCTTTAATTATGAAGTTACCGTCGGATGAGCGGAGGGGTGGGTTGGGGAGGGCTGCGCCACGAGTGATTGGCCCATAAAATGTTTTAGTGGAATTGAAAAATTGGCGCATCTTGTGCTGGTCTGCAAATTTTGTGTTTCACATACTTTATTTTTAAACCAGTTGTTCCTTAGATTGTGAAGTTCCCATTGGGCCGCCGCTTTCTTCTTGCTTCAGGTATCACCTTTGGTCTGAGACTGAGGGTTGTTCTGCCAGTCAGTTAAAACAGCACGTTTATCATCGTCGAGTACATTGAATGCCTGGTCATTTTCATGAAACCAGTCCTGGTGTATTCTTTCGATCTGGCCGAGGGTCTCTCTGCAATTTGTGTCATTACAGTGTCTTGAATATCCCATTCGGCACTGGGATTTGTGTTGTTTGTTGTCAGGTTGTTATCAGCCCATGTTCGAGCTGCTCTTTGAAATCATGTGCTACCGCTGGATCCTCCAGAAGCTTAGTGTTAAAACCTCTTCTGGAGGCTTGTTGCTTTCGCCATTTTGGAGCGATCGTGAAGTGAGAGCTTGGCTCTGACGAGCCACTGATCAGTGTCACAGTCGTCTGACCTACGCATGGCATGGGTGATGAGGACATCTCGGTGATCTATTTCTCTGACAATGATGTAGTCAATGAGATGCCAGTGTTTGGATCGTGGGTGCTGCCACGGACCCTTGAACTTGTCGGCCTGTCTAAACAAGGTATTGGTGATAGTGAGGCTGTGCGAAGCACATTGCTGAGGAGGAGTAGGCCGTTGGGATTACACTTGCCTAGTCCATTTCTCCCTATGGTTCCCTGCCAAATGTCAGCATCTCTACCAACTCTGACAGTGAAGTCACCAAGGAGCACAAACTTATCTTCTCTGGGGATAGAGGTTAGCACTCTCTCGAGGTCGGCGTAAAAGGCCCCCTTGATGTCATCCTCTGCATCCACTGTTGGGGCGTATGCGCTGTTGAAAAAGGCATGACGTGAGTGTTTCAGTGGGAGTCGGGGCGTCATGAGGCGCTCGTTGAGCCCAATGGGCATTTTAGTTAGCCTGTGTAGGATGCATTGGTGGATGGCAAAGCCAACTCCATAAATGCGGTTTCTCTCCGCAGCAGGCTTATCCTTTCAGAAGAAGGTATAGCCAAACCCCCGTTCTGTGAGTCGACCATCGTCTGGGATCCGGGACTAACTAATGGCTGCTATGTCATGTTATACCTAGCCAGCTCTTTTGCCACAAGGGCGGTTCTACTTTCAGGACGCTCATTTGTGCCAGTATCCAAAGACCATAAGAGGTTGTATAGTTTGTTTTCTTTGGATCTGTGATTTTGATTGTGTTTTCGACGCATAGAGATGCCCTTATAAGGTGCGGTTGCCCAGTCAGGTTGGTTTTTTAGGCAGGCTATGCTTGGGGCACCTTTTCTAGCCTCCTCCCAATGTTGGGTGAGCAGAGTGGCTCCTCGAAATGGCTGCTCAGTAGCACAGTCAGGACCGGATTGCACTGCTGCCTAGATCCCAGAGCATAAACGACCATCTTATCTGTGCCGCCCATGTGCGGAGTCGTGACTAGAGACTCCCGGCAGTCATCTCTGCCTGTCCCCGTCGCCACACCTACACAGACGCACACCAACACAGACAAACACCTACACAGACACTCATACACGGTTGCACACCTACACAGACACTCATACACGGTTGCACACCTACACAGACGCACTCCTGCACAGACGCACACAAACACACACTTACGCAGTCGCACTTCTACAAAGATGAACATCAAAACAGAGAAAACCTACACAGACACACACCTATATAGAAACTCTCTTACACAGACTTACACCTACACAGACACACACGTATACAGATGCACTCCTACACAAACGCACGCCTACACAGATGCACTTCTGCACAGACGCACACAAACACACACTTACTCAGGCGCATACCTACATAGGTGAACATCAACGCAGAGACAACCTACATAGAAGCACCCCTACACAGATGCACACGTACACAGAAACACTCCTACACAGATGTACACCTACATAGACACACTCTTACACAGACCCACTTCTACATAGATGCACACCAACACAGGCACACACCTACATAGACGCATACTCTACCTACACATGGCACATACTGTACCTACACAAACGCACTCACCTGTACAAAGTTGAGACACAACAGCGCTTCCTGTCACCCTGGCGGACAGTTCCCTTCGATATCACAATACCGACATATCCGCCTAAAAAATTAATTATACAAAGTATTTTTCTCCAACACACTGCCAAATTGAGAGCTCTTGAACACATACACACTCTACAGACTGATGATAATATCACACAGACCATCTACAGATTCTACACTGATGGATCTCTTCACACCGCCTGTGGGAGGGCTGGAAGTGCTATTGTTGTGACTCAACCTGACTGTAATATAGAATTAACAACTGGGCATCCACTCTACAAACTGAATTAGTTGCCATACTCACAGCTATTAAATTCATTGAAACCACTGTCACAGACAGTCTCATCATCAATGACTCTCTATCCTCACTACTTGTCCTTGACACCCTCGACTCAAGTTGTCACGCTCTTGTCTCTGAAGCCAGACACAAATATGCGTGCCTTGTTGACCGGGGTGGTCAGGGTCAACCTGTTGTGGATCCCCTCTCACATAGGCCTCATAAAACATGACAGAGTTGATGCCCTCGCCAAACTCGCGCCTAACAAAGACACCGTTGAATACAATTTGGGTCTGTCAAAAAGAAGCCTTAAAATTGTAATTAGGAAAGAACTTATTAATGAGTTTGACGCAAGTAGACTAGTGCAAACAGGCACTAGTCGATCAATAGTTTACCACGATGAGATGTATCAAGTGAAACATGTACTGTATATGGAGAAAGTAACAAGATCACTAGATTACAAGATGTTGTTACCGCTAGATTAAGGTTAGGATATAAGTACCTCTGGCAGTATGTTCCTCAAGCAGATGTAAACAAGACTAAATGTAAAGTGTGTGGCCATACATACTGTATAGCCACACGCTTGAACACTACGTCCTCGACTGTGTGAAGATAGAACCTTTTAGGGACGGGTCCAAGCGCACTGTGTGTGAAATGGCACAACACTTCATCTCTAATGGCAAGATAGCCGATATTATAAGATTGTATCCACTTTTTTGCACTTAGTAACTATATCAGTTCTCGTGTACAGAACCAAATACACAATGTGCTTGAATACTTCTCACGTAAATGTGAATAACAGAGTGTGAGGCCAGACATACTGCCTCACACGCCTGTACTCACGCATTTGTGAATAAGTTACCCTTTATGTATAGAACTAAACAAGTTAATGTAATTGAAATACTGTGTAACATTCAGTGCCATAATATCCTGACAACGGGAGTTAATTATTATGACCCGTTGTAAACTCTACTCTATAATCCTTTTGCGGCAAAATCAAAATCAACCACTCCACGTCACGAGCGAATGCTTCGGACGCATGTTCATATTCCCGTGGTTCCCAGCTCTTGGATACAAGGATTCAACGTTGATAGTAGCAGGTGGAAGTGTGGGAGGCTGTATGGGAATAATACTCATAATACTGCTATAACTAACAAAATAATTATTTCCTTTAGAATCCTGGCCGGACGGTGATCAGGACATCCTGGATCTTGGGGTTGTGGGTGACAAAAGCTTTTGGGTCATACCGAAGATCAATCTTCTTGCCAGGTGGTTGAGAGAAGATAAGGGACTGGAATACCGTAGTGGAAAAGATGAACAACTCCATGCGCGCCAGAGCTTCGCCCAGACAAGAGCGTTTACCTGACAGAAATTGTTGCGTGTGAAAATAATATAGATCATGCCTATTAGTTGTATTGGATTGGAAATTTGGAAAATTAGCTAAAATAAAGACGATAAATCCAGCTTTCCATTTGCCGGTTGGTCTTACATATGGCAGTGGAAACACCAAAACGTCAATTTCCCCAGTCATTCCAGTATTTACTCTTGGAGTAGTGCAAAATACTTCTGAGAGGTGAGCATGCTGCACTTCTAACTTGTGCCCTGAACTCCCGAATATGTACTATACAATACTCGTTGACTATATAATGTTATTATTGTGCTTGGGGGGACCGGTGGTAGAAGCGATACCGTTCTTGCCTCGCAAGCGAGATGTCATGGGTTCGATTCCCGGGCCGGTGGAAGTTGTTTGGACTTACTTCCTAGCCCCCATTAGTCCCTGTTCACCTAGCAGTAAAGTAGGTACCTGTTGTAAGTCGAAAGTTGCGAATTCGTATTCAGGGAAAGTTGTTGGAGCTTCCAATAACTTGATGACATAAACCACTGACTCTTCAGGCTTCTATGCCCTTGACTCTTCAGGCTTGTACGCCCTTAACTCGTGAGACATAAAGGCAAGCATGAACTTAGCATGCTTCCCTGTTGGGCGCTGTAAACGCTTCTGCACTTCACCTTACACAAGGATGTAGGGGGGTGCCCAATGAAAAACAAAAAACAAAAAATTGTGCTTCAACAACTAAGGCCTGTATGCGCATAAAAAATGCAAACACCTTGGTGAAAAAGTATATCGTGTCTTCAGTGTTTTCCCAACAAAAGTCCACAAGAGACTAGCCAATTTCCCTACTGTGTTGGTTGCTGTTGACCTTGATCCGCAAAGAAAGATCAGTTAAGTTGTTTAATTACACAAATTATAAAACATAGTATAAGAGCTTCAACCAATGTGGAGAATACGAGCAACGGGAGCACTGATAGATCACGGCGGCAATGGCTCACACAGTGATAAATCTTCGAGTCCAGAGGTGCACTAAGTGAATTAAGATTACACTTTACTAAACGTTTCAAGAGTAAAACCAAAGAGCTCTAGTGTCCACAAAATGACGACTACTTAGTAACATTTACAAGTGAGGAAAGTCTTCATAACACCAGTTTTCTATAATTGTGTTAACTTACCCACACCGAAGGGTAGAAAACCTTCCTTCTTGGCGGTGAACTTCCCCTGTAGATCGAGCCACCTCTCCGGCAGAAACTCGTCAGGACGGTCCCAGTACTGAGGGTCGTGATGCACTGTCTCTTGTGCTCCCGTAATAATAGTGCCCTGTAAGGGAACAACGACACAACTAAAAATAAGACATCTCCCCATAATATTATACCATTAGGGTGTGTCAAACGGAGGCGAATTTTTTTTTTTGAGTTTGAAAAATCGGCCCATGGTATTAATGATGTAGTTCTATGTGCAGAATCATGTGATATCTTCAGATCTGAAAAGTTTTCATTTTTTGCTAGGTAAATTTTAACTTGAAATCTTATGAAAATTCAGTATTCCCACCCTTTTACCAACACCACTAAATAGCTTATTTAAAGTAAAGTAAATGTATCAGGTTAATTTATTAGGATGAAAATGATCCAGAATAGTGAAACGAATGATCTTGACACATTTATTAAATTTAATATTCCTTTAGAAAACAAAATCATCAAATACAAAAACCACTTTTACTACTACGACCCGGTGTTGCTGCACACCATAGAGAACATGTCTTTCTTGCTTCTGTTTCTACTCATCACCTCCCTGCTGACCACCTGAGCTCGGATGTAGCCTTCCCTCCTCTCCTGGCTGTACACGTGACTGCTGGCCTCGCTCACTTGCTGTACACAACGCTCTATACTCTGGGTGTGCGAGGGCCAGGCAGGGACATGCATGGGGTTGTCCAGGAAAGCTCTGACTTGAACATTGGTGAGGCTGCAGGTAAGAGGGGGCTCACTGCCAGCCTGGATGTTATCCAGATCTATGAGATCAGTGAGGGTCTTGGCACCTAGATTGACTTCAGGAGTCTTCCTGACCCTGAAGGAATCGTCACCAACTGATTCGTCATGCCAGATCCTCTCATAAGTCTCATATCCAAGATCTTTTTGACTGCCCCTCTTCTCTCCTCCTCATCCTTACTGCAGAGCATTGTCTGCAGAACTGCCTCGGGATGAGCATACCAGGAAGATCTCCTCACAGTCTGCTCCACAATCTGAACAACCTTCCTTGGCTGACTCCTCAGGAGCTCAAGCTGGAAGAGAACATGCCTCGGACCTTAGGAGAACGATGACTTGACCTTGGTGTTGAACCAATTTGGCGAGTAGACACTCACGATGAATTGGACAATAAGTCTCAGGTTGTGAAGCTGGTTCCCTTTCAGTTTATGATGAGCGACCCAAATTCTGCAGAACCTGAGAGCCGTTGTGAGCCACCTAGAATGTGAGACTGGACCTATCTGCAGGTAAGCAAGTCTATCAGGCATGACCCCAGTTTGATGGCACTGCAAATCATGTAACCATAGTACTGGTCAGTACTCAGGTCGTCAATGACAGTATGTGCAAGCTCAACGAGTGGAGGGCCAACTGTGATTTTTTCAAAGCTCGGATTTATTTCTAACTCAGTGGCAGAGTCCAGCATCTTGCCAAGAGGACCAGACCATCTGTTGTTTGAAAGAGTCTTGCCATCCAGCTCCTGGATCAGATGTCTGAGTCAACTTGGTGTGGAGGTCACAAACAATCCAGACCAGCTTCCTCCCAATCTTCCGCTCTATCCACTGTATGACCCGCCACCCTGTGTTCGTGTTGGTGCTGTCCCTCCAATGGCCTGCAGGGTCTGGTCTACGTTCTCTCTCTGAGCCAGTTCACAATGTTATCTGCCACTATCTCAGCTGGTTTCCTGATGTCATCTTTCTCTGGAGTGAAATGCCACAAATACTTCCCTCCTGGTTCACTGCAGCAGGAGTAGTGTTCCTCCTTCACCATGGCAGGGAACAACTTGTCAGAATCTCCAACTTTCATGAACACTTTAGTGTCATCCCTTCTCCCATCAAAGAACAAACAATTGATTCCATTTTCTCTATCCCTTATCAAACTCCTCTTCTAGGTTACTGACAAGTTTCTCCTGAGCTCTCCTTACTTTGTTATGATCTATCACCAGGTGAACATCATCAGGTGTTATCAAACCACCGTCAATCCAGGCAGCTGTTGCTATCTCTGCAGTTTCTCTGAGACCAGTGTGGTGTCGCATGCTGGCCAGAGCTATGCTCGGATATCTTTCCTATTTCGAATCTTATGCCTGGAAGGTTTGGGATCATTATTTTCTGGGTTAGGGACAAAGTCACCATTCTCCTGGTCAGCACTCGGATCAGCCATGGGGAAGTCATTAAACTCTGAATCAGCTTGACTCCAATCATCGGCCTTTTTACCTCACCCTGGGCCTTCTCAAGTCTCTTTCCTCGGCAACTCTTCTCTCTTCTGTCTCTCTGTGGCAGCCTCCTGTCTCTTGACTCCGGAATATCTTGGCTAGAAATCATGAGAGCCCCTATACTGCCAGTCTTCTCTGTGCTTTGACAAATGCCAGTTCGATCACAGGAATCTTCAGTTCACGCTTGCAAATACAGGAGATGTGGGCCTCGGATTTACAGTCACGATCGCATCCAAACTCAGGACAGAGAACAATTGGGCACTTGCAAGTAATTATGTCAAATAACTGGTCCAGTTGCTTGGCAAAGCTGTCCTTAACTGCAAGTTTTCCTCTCCCAAGAGAGATATCTCTTGCCTTTTCCCAACTGGCTAGCAGTCTCTCACTAATCTTCTTCTGACTTGTTATGACTGGAGGCTTGAACTGAGCGTTAGCCAGAGTGTACTGTGCCAAGACAGCTTTGGTCATATCACTGGCAATGTCTTTGTTTGTGTAAGTTCTTTGGTTCTTTCACTGATTTGCCTGATTAAAACACCGTATCTCAAAGCATCTCTCAATGTAGGCAACTCCGACTTCAGGAGCTCTCTCCAGACCCAAGATAGTGACTGAGATGGCTGGATTTTTGGTTCCCTCGTCCTGACACAAGCAGCCATCGCAAATATTATCAACTTATAAATGCATCAGAATCTGAAACAGAAAAAAATATTGTTAGTTGGGTTGTTAAAGAATGAAGTCAGAAAGCAATGTTCACTATTTAATTGTAATGCACTAATGCAGCTGTACGTTAGTTTTTCGATAAATTTCACGCTAAAATTTACCAAGCAAAAGGTTGCAAAATATTGAAACTGAAATTATTTTCTGTTTACATACACTAAAATCTACCAAAAAAGTGATGGGCCATTAGTTTTAGCTGATCTTCCCTCCTATGACACACCCTATTACCATGAAATAAATTACAACTAATATTGTACATAACGATACATAGAAAAATTTTTCGTCTGTGGTTGACAACAACGAGTAAGAAGTAGATGCGACAGAGCATGAGGCCCAAGTGATCATTTATAACTGAAGAATATAATAGTGAAATTAGGCTACCAACCTTAGGGATGAAGTAGCCGCCCAGCTGAGTGTCTCTGGTAGCTACATGCTGGAGGCCTGTAGCTGCTAGTGAAGACTTACGTAGGGTCTCGTGTATGACCGCCTCCGTGTAGGGCATTCTGCACAGTGACACCCAGGACAAATGTTAGTATCAGCAAGACGTAATGAAACATACTGGAGAAAATCCTTTCCAATAACCAAATAAAAAAAGTGAACAAATCAAGACTGTCTCTAAAGCTTCTACGTTTTTCTTCAAGGTAAACAGTGAAAAGGAATTGACAAGTTCATGGAAGTGGTTGGTATGTAAATTTTTACTGTAGTTACCTTTACATTTTTCTTTTCTCGGTAAGAAAACCATGCAAAAATGAAGACGGAAATAATAATAACAAAATCTTTCTAGTCATCATATTACTCCATTGCTTCTGAGTGCCTCTAATCTGTCCAACAATTATCCGCTTTCATGTAAAATCATAAAGATTAACTCTTGATTTATTAAGCTTAATACCTCAAATTTATTCAGCTCTACTCCTATGACCAGTGAACAGCAAGTTCTGTGATAAAGCCTGGATCTTCATTCTAAAACATATAACATGTTCCTATTAGATGTTGACACACACCAGGGCTGGAACTGTTACTCCTGGAGAGTGTTCAGTTAGCTAGCTGTATATGTATAAAGCCTACGTATGTTGTATCAATTATGTAGGTCCATATGTATGTATGTATATTCTATGTATGTGCTGTTGCCATTACTTTGTATTGCTACATTGTCCAATACAGGGGAGCTGCACCATTTTATAGGTAATTTTCCTTCCTATTATATTTTTCTTTGTCCCACTACTTTTAAACAACTTCATTTCTTTCTGTTTTAATTTCTTAACTCTTCAAACCTTCTTTCTTTCAATTTCTTACTTTATTAATTCCATGTGTTAGCTATGTCTTAGTTAGTTCACTTCTCAATGATACCCCTAACCTCTGACCTTCGTAGCATGGCTAGAGGGTTAGGACACGGGCTTATACTGCAATACTGGTACCAAGATACGGAAAGGAACGAAGGTGAATACTGCAGGAGAACAATACCCCCAACATACAATAAAAATGGTTTATTAAAATAATGCTAGACTTATGACTAATTGCAGTAACACACAACTACCAGGATTAACTCCATGGCTCCACTCATTTTGTACTTTCAACGAGGTACATCTTCCAACATTCACTATTACTTGGTGTACCTTTAAAAACACACAACACTATAATCATACATATAACAAACTTGAGCACCATCAATACTGGTTAACTGAGAATTGTAGCTCTTGATTAGTAACAGGACTATAGCAATATCACCACATCTAGTACCTCAATAGCACCAGGACTAGTAGCTTCCCTGCGCTACTTTGTTGCATTCGCCAAGGAGTAAAGTGGCGACCCTCATACTCTTGCTGACTCCAAACACCCATACAACTGAGGAGCTGGTCGTGTTTACTCCTCATGCGAGATCAACAGGTGGACAGTGAACATGTTCTGGCCACCTCCTCTGAGCGGCTGGCTTTATGTGAGACCTCAGCTCACCCCATCCATGCTACACGTTGCTATCCGATCTTAATGACCTTCATCCATCACCAATACTAGTGTTGGATGTCGCCCTGGCATACAGTACATTGACCACCCTTGGTCTATCAGGCTCCTGTTCACAGAGAGGAGCCGTGCTTGAGAGTGTTGACACGAATGTCATAACGTTTTAAGCTGATGGCGCACGAACACTTTACTAAACCATCAAAGTAACGTTACTGGATCACTTGCACGTTCAAATAAAACACAACTACTTCAAATTCCCTTAATATAATGAGGTGGGACACACAGTACTTAAATATACCTGTTCACAGGAGGAGCAAAGGCTTGAGCGTGTGAGGTCAGAGTGTCTGCCTCGCTCTTGGCCAACGCTCACCAGCCCTGAGTTACTAAGTCGGAACTTTCACAGATAATATCATCAGACTTGGAGTAGATACTCTCCCCTACATCTGCCGATTTGTCGCTTACCAGCCGACCCCGCAGCGAGTTCCTCAGACCAAGCCTTGCTTTCGGACTGCGCAGTGATAAGCCACAGCCAATCAGCAGCGCCACTCCCCTCCGGCAGACTGAAGCTCCATGGTGACATCAAGATCACCTTCACCGAGAAGGGTATGCCCGTGCAACTCGCGGAGCTCCCAGACATCAATGGCATTCCAATAAAAATGATTGCCTACAAGTGGGACAACCTGAAGCTGGGAGTAATCTCCCACGCCGAAATTGCCCACGTGGACCAAGCAGAGCTGAGTGAGCTCCTCATGGGACAACTCCAAGTTGTCAAGAAGCTGTCCGACACCACTGCCCTCATCGGACACCATGTAACCTTACCCAAGGAGGCTCAACTGGCGTGGGTAACTATGCCAGTCAAGCCCTACTGCAGACCGAAACGCTGCTACAAATGCCAGCACTACGGTCACACAGTCAACAAGTGTGAGACGCAGGAGGACATCTGCTCCCTGTGCGACAGCCCCGGACACCGCTACACTGTCTGCCCCAACACAGTGAAAAAATGCGCTGCCTGTGGCGGCCCACATTCCTCCGCCGATCGGACCTGCCCCAAATGGAAGGAAGAGTGTAGAATAGCCAAGGCTCGACTCGACAAGAAACTGAGCTACAAAGAGGCCCTCCTTGCTGTATGCTCCTAAGACAAGAAAAAACCAGAAGGAAAGAAAAATCAAGAGAAGAAAACCCAAGAAAAGAAACTCAAGAAAAGACACACGCCACAAAGAATCAAGAACACCACGAGGTCCGTGGAGCTGAAGCCCACGTGGTCAACCTCACCGTCTCTGACTTCTTCCACACCTATGAAGACCTAAGACACAAGGAAGACGAAGAACAAGACCCAAACACGAATGAATGGACACTTCAAAAGAGTAAGAGAAGGAGGAGAGTAAGAAGAAAATCAACTTTAAGCTAACAAGAATACCAAGACCGAAGACCAAGACATTTCCTCCATACAAGAAAACAACACACACAATCAAACCGACCAAGTACTGAGAAGCCATGGCCCAACCCAACACTCACCTGACGCCTGACCTGACGCTCACCTGACTCTGTCCTCCCGCCTCCTCCAGGCGAGTTGCTGCTGCCTCCAACTTAAACCCCCTCACGCAAGCTGTGTTTAGCCACAGTACCTTTACCTCCTTCTAAAATTCACTTCAATCCTCCCTTTATCCTTCCCCTGAACCTCCTTCCCCCCTGTCACTAGCATTTATGTATGTATGTATGTATGCCTGGTCATAGTTAAGGATACCAGGGAAGAGAAGGAAGAAATCAAAAGCGTAAGCTGGCTCAAGTGGTGCTCTGAACTGAACGAACTGAACGAGCACACCTCCCTCGGCAAAATGTGGGCCCAGATCCGAAGGGCATCTGGGAAGGCAACACCACCACCACCAACCCATCCCAACCCAGAAGAGGAAGCCGAGAGACTTGCAAAACTGTTCTCTGACCGAGTAGCAACGAAAAACCTCCCGAGATGCGGAGGAGACACAACGGCGTCTGCGACAGGCCAGACTCCAGATGATCGAAGAGGCCTGCAACAGTGAAGATGACACAGATAGACCCTTTAACCAGCAAGAACTCCAGAAGTCGCTAAAACGAAGCAAGGACACAGCACCAGGGGCCGACAGGATAACCTACTCCATGCTTTCCCATGCTGGAAAAGCCAGACACGAGGCTTTGCTACAAGTCATCAATGCTTTGTGGACAGCAAAAAGACTTCCACCGGAATGGAAGAAGGCAGATATACAGCCCATTCCGAAGCCCAGAGAACCAGACAAACCGAGACCCATCTCCCTTCTCAGCTGCATAGCGAAGATGGGAGAAAGAATGGCTCTCAACAGACTCAGGTGGAAAGTAGGCAGCCCACACCCTCACATTTTTGTTTACACCGACAACACCGGCACAGGCAACAACTTCGCCGAGATACTCAGCACAGTGGACAATAAACCAGCTTTGGTGGTCTTCCTCGACCTGGAGAAGGCCTTCACTAGCAAATCCACTGGCCATTATAACGACGCTTGCTGAAAAAGGCATCAAAGGAAGGTTGCTGGGGTGGATCCAGAACTACCTCACAGTCATGTGCCTGTAACTCTTAGAAGCACGCATGTTGTGTGGTATCTGTTTACGCCTCCACTCCACACAAGCTATTAATAACTTGTTATTTTTACTATTATCTTATTGTTGTTCTTAGTTAGTTAGGTTAATTGTATATCTATGTAAGTCATTAATATGCATAATTTGTGTTACTCTGTTAAGTCAAACCAAGAGTAGTATTAATTAGTTATAAGACTATTTGGCAACTGTCCTGAGTCACGTGAGATAAGACGCTCCTCACTCATATGCTGTGTGGCCAGAGACTCTCTCTCTAGTAAAACCGTGGTATAGGCAAAACGTGTCCACACCTACTCTAGCCTCGACACTTGCCCAGTACAAACTTGCCTTGCTCAGTCATCTACAATACCCTAGTGGTACCTGGTAATTTGTGGCACTTTAACTTAGGCCTAGGAAGGGATCCTGGTGTTAAGGAATCTCCTATTTGGTAGGAAATAACCAGTTGGTTGTGATTGCTGTGTATATATTGTAATGTCTGTGTTTAATATAGTTAACGTTAAGTAGTATTCATTTGATTTAACTCCTTAACGGTATATTTTCACCCTTCCGGCATCACTCTTATTTTAATATACAATCACTTATTCCCTTAAATTCCATGGTTGCTAGACAGTACTCTTTTAGAACATAAATTGAATTATTTAATTATCTTCCCATTTGTGACTCACTTACTCCAACTTATTCTTATTTATTCAAGTACATTCAGTTGAGTCGGTATAAAGGATATTGGGATCACGACACTCACACACAGAGAAGCAAGAGTACGCTTTCAGGGAGCAACCTCAAGCTACCTGGTCCATGAAAACGGAACCCCTGAAGGAGGCATCCTCAGTCCAACGCTGCTCAATGTCCTGATGGAAAATCTTGTCAAACTTCCTTTCAGACAAACAGCCACGCTCCTATGCTATGCAGACGACTTACAGCTTATAGTAAGAGGATCAAACAGACTAGCCAACACGCAACACGCA